TCATGCCTGGGCATCCACCCTAGCTGGCACTGTTTAGATGGATAATAAAATGATGACCTGAGTCATAAATTATCACATATTTATTTCAAAAAACTGATTTTTTTATTTTCTTTTTAGTAAAATCATAAATTGTGTTGTTATAAGCGAGATTTTCATAGTTGGTGTTCTCTTAACAATGATACCAGGGGCCCTGGGTGGCTCAGTCTGTTGGACATCTGCCTTTGGCTCAGGTCACAGTCCCGGATTCCTGGGATCCAGCCCTGCCTCGGGTTTCCTGCTCAGCGGGGAGCCTGCTTCTCCCTCTCCCTCAGCTGCTCCCCCTGCTTGTGCTCTTTCTCTCTCTGTAAAATAAATAAATAAAATCTTAAAAAAAAATGATACCAAATGAGACCATCTTTCTTGAGTCAGTATAGCTCTTTGGTAGTTTTTTTAAATTAATTTCAATTTGAAAAAGCTTCACTCTGCAAAGACAGAGTTGAAAATAAACCATGAAATTTACTTATCCTGTTCAAACACTGTAACGAGATCTCATTTAATGAACTATTATTGCAGAACCTGTTTGAATTTCATAAATAAACAGCTATCACTTAAATTGCCATTTTAACTATTTCTTAATGTAATGAGAACCAACTAGTGTGAAATGTGCAGAACCAATATCAAACTTCTAGACCCACACATCTGCAAGTTTCAAAGTAATATGAATCATTTAATGTTGCAAAATATTTCTGTTCCCATGTGCAACTGTAATACATACAGTGCTCATGTGTGAGTACCTCTGGAACTACAAACAGAGAAGCAAGAAAATTGACATTCACACTACAAGGGAGCCACACTTTGTTATTCAAGAATTGCATTCATGCCACCTGAAAGAAAGGATCTGACAAGTTAATTGATTCATTCATGTTCTTATTAAGCCAAATATTTCTGCTCTTCAAAATCTCACTGCACTCTGAAGCAGTGCACATCTCTGATAGTGGTAATGGCCACGATCACAGCATTAAGCACACTTGTGTTTTGTTTTGAGGACATACGGTGAGTGGAGAAGCATTTCCCTCAAGTGTTCTTCCTGAGAGCAGTGTTCAGCATTTATCGGTGACCAGTTTCCAAGGGAGAGGCACCCACATCTTCTTTCCTTTTCTTGTAATGGCTTAATGGAGGTATAACTCACATGACATAAAACTCACCCCTGAGAGTGGTTTTTAATACATTTACCCTAAAAAGAAACCCTATACCTGTTAAGCAATCACTTCCTACACCTCCCTCCCTACCGGCCACTGGCAAATACTAATCTACTTTATATCGCTATGGAATTGCATATTCTGGATATTTCATTTTATTTATTTATTTAGTAAGATTTTTATTTATTTATTTGACAGAGAGGGAGAGAGAGAGAGAGAGAGAGAGCACAAGGTGGGGGCAGCACCGGAGAGGGAGAAGCAGGCTCCCTGATCGATCCCAGGGCTTGATCCCAGGACTCTCAGATTATGACCTGAGCCAAAGGCAGATGCTTAACCTACTGAGCCACCCAGGTGCCCCTGGATATTTCATTTAAATAGAATCATATAATATGTAGCCTTTGTGTCTGGTTTCCTTCACTTAGCATAATATTTTCAAGGTTCATCCATGTTGGGGCAAATGTCAGTAGTTCATTCCTTTTGATGGCTAAATTGTATTCCACAGTAGGGATACCACATTTTATTTATTCATCAGTCAGTGGACATTTGGGGTGTGCCAACTTTTTGGCTATTACGAATAATGCCACTATGAACATTTGTGCACAAGCTTTTCTGTAGACATGTTTTCGTTTCTCGTGTCTATACCGAGGAATGGAGTTACTGGAACACGTGGTTACTTTGTATCTGATGTTTTAAGGAATTAACCCAAAGGCTTTAAAAATAGTTGTGCAATTTTACAATTCCACCAGCAACATATGAAGGTGCCAATTTCTCCATATCTTTGTTAACACTTGTGATTCTTTTTTATTATAGCCATCCGTGTGCTGTGTTGTTGTGCTAAACCCTTCACAAGTGTTAACTCATTTGATCTTCCCAATATTGCTGTATCCAGAAAAGGGAATGTAGGCTTAGCGAGGTTCAGTAACTTGCTCAACACTAATAAACTGAAAAGTGCCAAAGCTGTAATTAGAAATATGCTACACAAATAAAACAGTCTTTGAACACTCAAGGGAATGAAAACAATTTGGGCAAATTCCACCTCCCTCCCCTTTTTAACAAGACTGAGTTTAAAACCTTCTGTTCTATCTAAGTTAGTCTCCTGTTGATGTCCTGAATCCACTCCTGCCTTATGCTTCAGAGCTAACTGGTACTGGGACCTAATATTGAGAACAAAAGGGAGAAAGAAATAATCTTTTCAATTAAAGCAAAATTTTCCATTTAGCCTCTGATAATTTATAAATATTAATTAGGAATTAAAAAAATCACTAAAAAAAAGAAACTTGGAAGCTTTATTCTCCAAGTATGATCTTTATTATTCTTGGTCCAAAATTGTTTCCAAGATACACATTTCCACATTCTTAATGAAGTCAGTGGAAGTTGACTTCAAAGCAAATTTTTTGTTTTAATTCCATGAAGATACATGCCACCTTTTAAACTTCTAATTTGCATTAATTTATAATAATAAAATTTACATATATTTTTATATTAAGATAAGAGTTAAACAGAAATATATCTTTTAATGTTTGTTCTCAAAAATAGAAGTGTCACCATTCTTAAAAACATGGCAATAAAGTAAATGAAGTTAACTCAGTGTTTAGAGAAGACTTGGAATAAACTATTTTGACTCTTATGTGAGGAATCTGATTTCCAGGGCTATGTGCTATTTAAGAATAAACTTGCACATAAGTACAGAAAATTCCAAGGGTCTATGTTCGAAGAGTTGTCTCTGGCAGAGGCACCAGGAGGAAGATGCTGCTCATATGTCTGAACTAAAGATTGTCCTCTGTGAGTATCTCTGATTCACAGATGGTGATATTCAATAGAGAAAGGGCTGAGGAAGTAGGAAAGGGTATCTGTAGAATTAAACAGTGAGCCAAACATTTTCCTCCTGACCACTTCCTTACTGCTTCTGAAGTATCTTAGTGCTTGTGAGGAGAAGAAAGGCCATCTTGAAATGAGTGATACAAGCTGCTTTACCAAAAACAGGACCCCTTCAGAGAAAACAAAGTTTTGGAGGAAGGTTGGCAGGGAGAAATGATTAAATTGGAGGAAAAATTTGTTCTGTTTTAGACATTACACATTTGTAGTGTGGGACATTTCATGAGTACTCTATATTATCCTCTATTCACATGGAACCATTTCTGAAATTTTTTAATAATTTTTTATTGTTATGTTAACCACCATACATTACATCATTAGTTTTTGATGTAGTGTTCCATGATTCGTTGTTTGTGCATAACACCCAGTGCTCCACGCAGAATGTGCCCTCTTTAATACCCATCACCAGGCTAACCCATCCCCCCCCCCCTCCCCTCTAGAACCCTCAGTTTGTTTTTCAGAGTCCATCGTCTCTAATGGTTCACCTCCCCCTCCGACTTACTCCCCTTCATTCTTCCCCTCCTGCTATCTTCTTCTTCTTCTCATTTCTGAAAATTTAATTATATAATTCAAACATGCAAAACTTAACCTACTCATTATTTAATAGTTTATTGAGATATAATACATATGCCATACATTTCACTCATTTAAAGTATATAGCAACTATCTTACTTATGATATCATACAGAAGTATGTATAATACAGATCCCTTTAACATATAAAGTGTAGGGCCTCGTGGTGGTAGGGTTTAAATGTGGTAGAGAAGAAAGTAGAGAATTTATTAAATAATACTATAGGACCCAAATAATTATTTTAGCTTTCAAAATATCTGATAAATCTCTATGTTAAATTTGTTTTTCCAACATCCTTGCTTTAAGGAAGGAAGTTAAAGATGTTTGCCTCTCCAGAAGTTTAAATGGAGCTTTTATAAAACTCCCATCCCCTTTTGTGGTGTTGATAGGGTTATTTTCATATTATTAATACATGAAGAAAACTGTTAAAAGTTTTGAAGCACAACTTCACAAGATTTGGAATATAGCCAGCATATACTGAAAATTTTATAATTTGTTTCCTCTTATGACTTTTTTGGTTAGGTACATGGAAGTCAGTGTCATGGTTCTATTTTTCACTATTGGTGGCAAATACTAGAGTTTTAGCAGGTGATAATCAATCAGGCCCTTTTCCTTGATTTGTGTTTCTATGCAAATGAGAAATTAGATGCACGAGTCAGACAGAAATGAAAGTATCAGCTTCATTACTGATAAAACTGATTGGAAAGCAAGGCTTAGGTATGTAGCCACAAGGGTTTCCTTGGATCATTATGATGAGGTTTGGTGCTAGTGCTAGAAAACTGAAAATAACAGTGGCATAAATGAGGGAGAGACTCTCACCTAAAAGTCCAGAGGTATTAGATCAGGACTGATAGAGTTCCAGAGTATCTGGCACCCAGACTCCTGTCAAGTTTGTTCATTAGCTATGTATGGCCTCCTTTTCTAGGGTCATTTTGGGGTCTGGGATGGATGCCCCAGCTCCAGCTATATGCATACATTCTAGCCAACAGGAAGAAAGAGTGGGGTAAGGAAAAATGTCTCCATTTAAAGACACATTAGCTAGAACACAGTCACTTAGCCACATCTAACCAGGAAAAGTACCCAGCTAAAAAATGAGAATTCTACTATAGAAGGGGAGAAGGGGTATTGCTAGACAATTTATAGTCTCTGCCATATTCCTGAGTTAAACTTCTGCAGCCAGACAGAGGCAGAGTCAGACAACCACCAGCCTCCCCTATAGTGAAATGCAAGTGCTTAGCACAGAGCAGAGACTTATCTGGAGGCTAAAGTGCTTGAAAGAGAGGATCTGGGAAGGGGCTGAGCCAAACACATTCAGTTCCTTCTCACTCTCACCCACTGAGAGAGGCCTAATGTGTTCCTCCCATGCTTTTTGCTCCTAACTGATGTTTGGCTTTTCTAAGGGGCAGAACAGTGAACTGTCATAAGGCAGGAAAGCAGCACATGATTTGGCACCGCAATAACAAGGTTTTCTTATTTTCCTGGGATCTAGCCTTTCCTTGTCTTCACTGTCCATTAGATTAAGAAATCTTCCTGAATAGTCGTAAGAGAGTTCTTCTTCGGGCAAAATGTCTTTGGCTGCAAAAAGTGCCAACTTTGGTACCATTGAGTCAATTCGGACAGGAATCATCAACAGGTTTGGCTCGCAAGAATGGTTGAGAAATCTTCCAATATTTCCTATATAGGCGGGATCAACAAATGTTTCTATGACCTGCCCGTTGTAAACATGTTCTCTGACGGCTATAATGTAATTTGGATCGTGTATTGTTTGTAACTGAATTCTTCTCTGTACTTCAGAATATCCCAAAACTTCACCAGCATATTCACAGACAAACCGTCCTTTTGGTATTAGTTCCAAGGTACGAAGTCCCCAGCCTTTTTTGTCCGTCTTGAACACCTGGAGTTGGAACTGCAGACCCTGCTGGACCACCCTGTTCCTGCAGTGGTCACTGCACTGGCATAGGACGTTGCATTCAAATACTGGCTTGGCACACTTTCCTTCCGATCCTATATTTCTAAGGCGTGAATTATCATCATAGTTCTCCCCATGACGGAGACAAGAGCAAGTACCAGGGAGGCAGGGGGTTTTGAAGCAAATGCATCCGGGAAAGGTTATTTGTGTGGGATCAATGTCTGTTCCAGGTCCAGCTACATGGTCAGGCGTATACTGCAAAAAAGAGAAATGCTCTCAGTCAGCATGGTATGTTATGTATTTCATATATATTTCAAGCAGTTTTTGGATGAGACGCTTCTTAATTCCAATATATATAAAAATAGATTAAAACAAAATTGACAAGGGCGCCTGGGTGGCTCAGTTGGTTAAGCGACTGCCTTCGGCTCAGGTCATGATCCTGGAGTCCCGGGATCGAGTCCCACATCGGGCTCCCTGCCCAGCAGGGAGTCTGCTTCTCCCTCTGACCCTCTTCCCTCTCATGCTATCTCTCATTCTCTCTCTCTCAAATAAATAAAAAAAAAAAAATCTTTAAAAAAAAACAAAATTGACAAAACACAATATACTAAAATATCATTTGAAAACATACCCCTTCAATTTAAAAAATAAGATTAATTTTTGGATTAAAATTCTGTGGTTTTATTCTAGGTATGTGGTAAAAAAGGAAAAAATATATGTTTTTCTCTTATCAGAAATGGAAAGATTTGTAACTAATTTTTTCCTTTTAGCTTTGGTTATCAGAAAAATCAGTGAATTTAGTTTTTGAATGCAGTTAAGTATTTTATCTTTGGCTCTTGATCTTTTCACACTTATCTGACAATATAAATGCATGTATTTTATTGTGAGTCACTGCAGATGCTTTTTGGGGAGAAGAAAGTCATAAATGATAAATAAATTAACAAAAAATGGCCTTTGGAAGAGAGTCTTCCACTGATTTTTAAGGAATTCTTAATTTGAAATTTACCTGAATTCCTAAATATTCTTTGATGTTTAAAAAAGACACTACTGCTTTAGAGTTTTGAGTCTTAATAATGTTAAAAATAGGCATTGGCCAAGAAACTGCAGACAGAATTCCAAAAATCATATTTGTTATATAGATATTAATAAATGTAGATGTACTATATATGTAAAGAAATCCTGTTTTTATTAAATGATAAAGAGATAATACGGAAAACTTTCTCATGTTACAGAAAAAGAATAAAGTCCCAAGTCTAAAATCTCTATGTGAAACCTGATCTCTGGTTATTTCCTCACTAGCATAATTAAGCATATTTTCCACACCCTGAAGATTAAAGTATCTCTCATGAGCCCAGCGTATTTCTTTATGTATAGAATAATTCTTGCTTACATGGAACCTAACTCATTTATTTATACCTGCTATTAGTGTTCTTGGACCCAATTTCAATGCAGTGGTTGTCGTGGTGGGGTTTCCCCACACCTCTAACAAGCAATGCTTCGAGCACCAGGTGGGTATCCTACAACTCAACTCAGTTCTGATGCTATCCAGTAGCATCACACCCCACAGTTTAATGGGTCAGTCCTAAGACTGCCCCCTGCCCCCGACTTCGGACACCAGGCGCAAGCTCAGGTTGTCATCTGTGCTACTGACTGATGGGCTACATATTGGGAGGTTCCCATGACCTCCTCCTTGGACTTTAGATGCCGGTCACAAGTCCAGGTTGTGACCTAACTTGTGGCCAACAGGCTGGAGGTCAGAGGTTCTCAAAATCCCCTCCTTGGGTTCAATTAATTTGCGAGAATTGCTCACGGAACTCAGAGAAAAATTTTACATACTAGAAAAGGATACAACTCAGGAACAGGCAGATGGAAGAGAGGCATAGAGCAAAGTATGGGGAAAGAGAGAAGAGTTTCCATGCCCTCTCTGGGCACACCACACTCCCAGCAGCTCCACGTTCACCAACCCAGAAGCTCTCTGAATTCTCTTTTCTTGGGTTTTTAAGGAGGCTTCATCACTTAGCCAGAATTGATTAAATCACTGGCTATTATTTGCAGATGTTTCAACCTCTAAGCCCCTCTCCCAACTGGAGGTCGGGGATGAGGGTACTGAAAGTTCAAACACTAACCAGATGGTTGGCTCCACTGGCAACCAGCTCTCATCTTTTGGTGTGTTTCCAAAACTCGCCTCATTAACATAACAAAAGATACCATTTTGCTGCTCTTATCACTTAGAACCTAACAAGGGTTTTAGGAGCTCTGTGCCAGAAATGGGGACAAAGACCAAATATAGATTTCTTTTTATAAATCACAACATCACACCTGCTTTGTTCCAAAAAGGATTTAATGAGACATACAAAGAGTTCAGGTAAATGAACAATACATAAGAAATGTACAGCGAAGGGAAAAATAAGAGCTAGTTGAGCGAGTTTAGACACACACAGTGTGTAGCAGAAGTAAACTGGACTTTTGGTGCTGCCTGAGCACAGCCACTTCCAAGAGGGAAATAGGATCAGATGCAGGGCTTGTACTATCCATAAGGAACAATCTCACCGTTGAGAATGAGCATTGACTTTTTCCGCTATGGAGACTGGAGAGAAATTTCACCAATGTGTCTGTCTAAACCATTCTTTTCCAGAAAACAGTTTCATGGGCTGTTTTTCATTCTGACTCTCAATAAAGGCTATTGGCATGGGGCCACAACAGTCAGTAAGAGCCGTACTGCAAGGGACCAGGTACACAGGCTTTAATGCAGGAATAGATTTTAGAGTATCTAGAGGAATGTCTGAACCACATTATCTTTCAATCATCCATCAATACTGCATCTCTGGGCCAAGCTTTGGGGAAAGTATTAAACAACGTGTAGTTACACTCCCTGTGGAGGCCTCGGTGGAGCTATGCAGTTAGGCTCAAAATCCTATATTTTAAAAAACGTTCAGCTGGGGAAAGGATTGACATCCTCTTGTGAGAGATGAGGAGGATGATGAGTGGGAGTACCTGCGGGGGAAGGCCAACACTCTGCTTAAGAAGTGATTTGGGGGTGGAGGAGCGGAAATAGCTTCTCTTGTTTGTGTCATTTCTTTCAAAATGAGCTTTAGCTTAGTGGAGATGTCCTAAAGGGATAAAGAATGGCTTAGAAAAAGATGCCCTATCAATCAGTCAAATTCAATGACTGCTGTCTGAGACAGAATCTACTTCCAGCTTTTAAGAGTCAAGGTTGAAATGTAAATGGTTACTGAGACATTTTAAAAAGTACTTGTAAAGTGAAGATTTTACTATCTCTTTGTTAAACTTTTCATGAAGAATTCTTTTAAATTGATTTCTTCTTAAAAGCGCACATATTTTTGATGTACTATATAAATCACTAAAGTATAAAGTGATTTTTTTTTTTTTTTTTGGACACAGATAACTCCTTTTGAAATCAAGTCTGGCTTACTGTAGTCTTCTAGCCAGAACAGCATTTTATTCTTTGTTGAACTTATTTGGATATGGATAGGTTTTGAAAAATACTGTTATTTGCTTATTTTTATTTATACATTTAAAAAAAGACATTGGAAAATCTAGTGATACCGTTTTTAAAAATTCTGGAATTTAAACTTGATGCACAATCTAAGATCTTTTAGAGACACAGATTATAGAGGGTATCTAATTCCAAATGAGCTGCAGACACCTTCCAAAGGATAACAGAGACCTCTGTATAAACTTCCTGTTTAAAGAGAATTGTTTTCCCTTGATGGATGTAATCCTTAACCCTGATACCGATATTTATCACAAATCATTTTATCTCCGTATTTTCCATTTTCTCCTCCATAAACAGTCAGTCAGTAAAATACCACTCCAGAAAGATATTTCACCTGACTTAGAAAAATGGCTATACCAGAGAAAAATCTTTTGAAAACTGTGGTCTAAATTAACATACGATTATGTAATTATTCATCTTTTTAGGTATCTAACTACATATTGGAAAACTGTTTTCAGAAATAATCTGATGTCACTGACCTGATACTCTATTCAAATATTTATATGCCATGCAAATTGTTAACTTCTGAGAATCTGAAAGCTAATGTTAAGTATGTTACAAATTGGGAGTCAACTGACTTGAGCTTAAATGCTCCCAATTTGTAACTCTTTCCACAGTTTGTCCTCTACTTCCTGGAACAAAGCCCAGGGCCAAACTGATCCAAAAAAAGGGTGTTACCCTGAGGGTTTTGTGCTTACTCTAAACCCAGGAGAGATCAAAGCTTGGGGAATGAGACCAGAGAGGACATTTTTTTACCCATCCAGCATCTGTTCCTTTTCTTCTGATAAAAGCACCCTGACTTCTCCTGGGGGAACCCTTCCCAGTCCAGTCTCATTGGTTTGGATGGGGATCCAGGTTGGGCGGGGACCTGGACCCAGCTAATCAGGTCATCACTTGCTCCTTTCAACAGTGTTTGGTTCATGGATCGGCACACTACTTAAGCCAGATCAATGAAAAAGAATTCTGAGACTTCTGCTGAAATGATCAGGAAGAGACAATCTCACTCCACTTGTTTACCTGGCATTCTCCAGTTCTACTGCACATGTAAAACCTACTGAGGGTGTAGCCAACCAGATGAAAGGGGGGTAGGGGTGCGAAGGGCGGAGGTGGTGGAAAGAAATATTTGATGACACCATTAGAGTTCTTGCATCCAGAAATGCCTATAGTTACCACTCTTGGACTTTGCTGTTATGAGGCAATTCCTTCCCTTTTTTGCTTGAGTTAGTTTCTATTGTATTTCTATTTCTTGCAAACAAATGACTCTTGATTGATATGCCCACAGTAGAAGGCTGATAGTGGTTCCAGGAAATGGCTGGAAAATTGAGTCAAAGAATATAAATGGCTAATGAGAAATTCAGGTCTCCAAATGGGAGATGAGGCTAAGATAAAGTGTGCAGGAGGCCAGATAGGCCTGTGACAAGCCTGAACACTGGACAACCAATAGACAACTTCTTAATTTTTATTTTTTATTTTATTTTAAAAAAGATTTTATTTATTTATTTGACAGAGATAGACAGAGCACAAGCAGGGGGAGCGGCAGGCAGAGGGAGAGGCAGGCTTCCCACTGAGCAAGTTGCCCGATGCGGGGCTCGATTCCAGGACCCCGGGATCATGACCTGAGCTGAAGGCAGACGCTTAACCGACTGAGGCACCCAGGCACCCCTATGGAGAACTTCTTAATGTAGAACATGGAATGTCCTAAAGGAGACACACACAGAACTAGGCTCTTATTAGCACTGTGACTTAGGGCAAGTTACCTTCTAAGTTTTGGGTTTGCACCTATAAAACAGGAATAATACCTGTATCTGCCCCCCAGCCCCAGGTATTATTAAATTTAAATTACACTGTACTCTGTGCCAGGCACTTTATATTTTTAAAATAGTAGCTTCCTTAAAGGCTTCTAGATATTATTTCTAGATTTTATATTTAAAACATCATATATTTCTGGCACATCACTTAATCTCTCTAAATATTTCCTTTCTGTCTCACAGGTGACCGTGAAGGAAAAAAAAAAGAGAATCCATGTAAAAAGCTTACTCTAGTGGCTGGCACATAGGTGTTCAATATTAATTATGTAGGCTACCTGGGAGGGTGGTGAAAACAGCAGATTCTAAAGTTAAACTTTCTAGGTTCAAACACGGTTAAATCAAAATTTTGTCTAGGAGACGATGTCATTTTATTTCTATTTTCTATTACTTATCCATCTTGAGTGGGGGAAACGAAGAATTGATGCAGCACAGACTTCTTTCCTTCATCTACAAATACTGCCTTACTGCTTGTTAGATGCATGTGCTGCGATTTAGAAAGAACCAGTCAGAAGAATACAGAGAAGACACGGAGAATGGGATTTTTATCATTTCTTTGTATCATAATAACATAAACTACTTTTTCCTAGTATGTATCAAAATGCAAACATTGATCATGCAAGAGTTGGGAATAAATGCAAAATGACCAGTGTAAAACGAAGTAACAGAAACCAGATCCTTGAAGAACTGGGTGGAGATTTCAAGTTTCTTGACAGAAAACTTAAAACTTTTTTATAAACCATGGTCACTCAAGAAGCCGAAATGGAAACCAGGAGACAGCACGTTGAAAAGCAAATATACCTCCTTGGCTATTCTCATACACAATTTCTCTCTTTTCTGAACTAGACCTGTACATATTAATAGCATAAACTTTGGGATCTAAATGGCATAGGCTATAGGTCTCTCTGGTTGTACTACATGTGTAAGTCTTGTCTTTCTAACAAATACATGTCTCAAGGAAATGGTCATGTGGTTTGGGGTATGACATGGTAATGGGAGTCGAGTTACTTTTCATAGTACTGGGCACAAGGCAGCAGGCTTAGGAAATATTTTTTGACCGCTTGATTGTAGCTCTTGATAACTTCTTACCGAAAGTCTGACTTTTCTAAGTCACATTCTATATCAAAGCCCCAGAAACTTAAGTATGACACCGCATAATATTTTGGGCTTAAAACCTAGGCCTTGATTCTGAATTTAAAGTGCTGTGAAAATCTTCATTCCTTTTTTGGTTGTTTTGAAACACCAGCTACATGAATCTTTGTACTTGGCCTCTACCCCATGAGTTTGTTTTTGCTCCAAGCTATTAAGAGCCTGTGAGCCAGATAATTCTTGTCAAGGCCAAGTTGAAATCTTAAAAAATATGTTTAAGGCTGGTTTCAGAAACCTGGAAAAAGGCTAGATTCAACTCTCTGTTCAAGAAAATCAATTAGTTTATTTTCTACTTGGCTTTCAACACAGATGGCATTATGATAGGCTTGTTTCCAGTGTGAACATGTGAATGTTCTTTTTGCCTTTTCACACAGTACTCAAAAGCAAATCAGACACAAAGTTATTTTTACCTTCAGTTTTTCATGCCTTAATTCTTATGTGTGTACATGCCTGTGAAGGCAGGGCTTGGGGTAAGCAAGCTGTTTTGACCTTTCATAAGACAGGTTTTGTGCTCCATGAATATAGGAAAGCAAACTAGTTAGACACTTTTAGGCTTGTCATAAATATGTTTCAAGCATGTTTTATCTTCTTGGTAAGACTATAAGGTCCTTGACAAAGGATCTTACCTTCTTTCTGTAACTCTAACTCTACCCAGAGCTATACATATAGCCAGGCAGCTAGAATACTGAGGGACTGAGTCTTAGTCTCAAGACTTTCATTTATGCCTATCAATTGTAGATATAAGGATCAATCATAAGGCTTCCTCTCTCCCTTCTCCAGCCCCCCCATAGCAACTAAGTGCTTTCTATATGGTCTTGTAAGCTCAAAGGCAAGGCTGTCACCATTTTATCTTCCATGTCTAGCTTAACGCCTATCACATTAAACACACTCAATTACTTGTTGAATAAAAAAACATTTTTCAGTGTTTTTGACCAGACATTTAGCAATGGTTGGTCTTGAATAGGCTTTCAGGAATTAGTGTTTAATATGGTGCGATCCAACTGTATAACTCCAACTGTAATTCCTATTATTATTATTTAGACTTTATTTATTTGAGAGAGAGAGCGCAGAACGAAAGACAGAGCACGAGCAGTGGGTAAGGGGCAGAGGTAGAGGGAGAAGCAGATCCCTGCTAAGCAGGGAGCCATGGGATCATGACTTGAGCCGAAGGCAGACACTTAACAGACTGAGTCACCCAGGCACCCCTAGTCAACTGTATTATTAACCATAAAACTGGGCACCTGGGTGGCTCAGTCGTTAAGTGTCTGCCTTCGGCTCAGGTCACGATCCCAGGACTCTGGGATTGAGCCCCGCATAGGGCTCCCTGCTCAGTGGGAAGCCTGCTTCTCCCTCTCCCACTCTCCCTGCTTATGTTTCCTCTCTCTGTGTCTCTCTCTGTCAAATAAATGAATAAAATCTTAAAAAAAAAAAAACCCCAAAAACCACAAAACCATAAAACTGCCCTAAGGTAGTTTGAGGAAAAATAACCTTTCCTGTCATTAATATCCTGCTTTACTCTTTGAAAACTGCTAGCGAATCTGTTTTATTTGATCTTCACAACAACCCTAAGAAGGAGAGACACACAGGGCTTAGTATTGATGGTGTATGTGACCAAGGTTATAAATTTTTAATTATTTTCATTTTGCAGATGGAGAAGCTCAGACTCCAAGAAACAGCCAAGATGGCTCAGCCCTGAACCTCGCTCTCCTACCTCCAAGTCCAAGTGCACCTTTCACTCCAACATCATTGTTTTTTTGGTGATATTCCATAGGCAATGAGCAGGCCAAGGTCAGAGGGGTGGGGAAGGTAGAGCAGAATGGGTTTTGATGTGGTAACAGCAGCGGAACATTTATGTTCCATGAAAGAACATGGTTCTTTCAGCAAACCAGGAAGTGTGTTTTATTTGTAATTCTCAAAGCAATCCGGGAGAGAGGCACTATTATTTTAATCGTACACGGGAGGATTGATTCTAACGCTTAACTGAGGCTAGTTTATATTTGCCCAAGCCCTCATAGCACGACGGAGACTCAGCAAAGTCTCATTGTAGGGACTAAGTTTTTAACCCTAACCCTAGGCTGAGATCCATTGATAGGGCCCATGCCTTATCTTACAGAGGAGACACCTGCGACGAGAGAGGTAAATGACTTGCCCCCAGTCTCTCAGTGAGTACTGGGGAGAGAGCCAGGAAAAGAAAGAGGTTCTCAGGGCTCTTTCCAAGGGACCTCACGAAACACCTGGTTTGTCCTTCAGGGAACTGCCGGTCTGTGGGGAGAAAAGAATACTCTTGCTATTGCTAAGGTCATTACGGAGGGTTAACAGAACGAGACTAAAACCTGTGCATTTAAGAGCTATCCCTGCGCGAAACAGCTCTGCGACAGGGAAAGAAAAAAGTCGAGAATACGGAGACAACTTGGGATAGGAGAGTCATCCACAGAATCACTGCCAGGTCGGGGAACGGCGCCCTGGGTCCTCGCCTCCATCCATCTCCCCTACCCGGCCGGGCGCCAGCTCCACTCCGGTGGCTGCGCGCGCGCAGTGCGCGTGCCGGGCAAGGCTCGCCCCAGAGAGAAGGGCGCTCGCTCCCCCCAACCACCCCCTCGCCCCCCGGCGCGCCGAGCTCTCGGCGGCCGAGCCCCGCCCTCTACCTGGAAAGGCTCTGGCTCCGCCCCCGGGGGCCACGCGCTCACAGGCACGTTCTCCAAGCCGCGCGCGACATCCAGCCGCTCAGTAAGGGCCTTAGGCCCCTCCTCAGTCGCTGCCATCCCGCATGGTCACCTCTCTACAGCTTTCATGGACATTTCGCGCCATCTCGATTCCCATGGAGCCTAGACACTTTTGAGCCTCGCAGGGGAAGCTGGGAATCGTGGGTCGCGCGGCCCCGCCGCCTCCTGGGAGTCGTAGTTTTTCTCTCTCCTTTCATAAGTGGCCTGTGAGGGCGTCTCCTCCTTCGACCCTCAGCTTTCCTTGACTTTTTGGATTGGCTCCCTCTCTTTTAAGCCAGATGCACAACAAATAATACAAAGCTTTGGAAGGTACGGACATAGTTTTGGAAATACAAAATGAAGTGCTTTAATTTTTCCGGTGAGCCTCAGGAAGGGTTTGCGAGGTGAGGTCATTTTTCCAGGTTCCTGAGGGCCCGGAAGTTTGCTGGAGTGAGGGCAAGGGTGCGCTCTAGGTTGAGGGGTGAAATGCACACCAGGGTTTCTAAAGTTATGGAACTCGCGTAGCAGTTGGGTGGCGTGTGATAGGGTTTGTTCTCCGGCGGCAGAATAGCGGTATAGGGCGCCCTAAGGCCTGTGTGGGGACGCCCACTCCTGGATTGAGTTAATCTGTTTCCTATCAGCTTCCCTCTCCTAGAAAAGAAAAACCCGGCCCCGACAAAGGATTCTGATAACCTCGAAATTGCTGGATCCAGTGGAATATTTCCAAAGCTCTCTGACCCGATTGTCCTGCCGCATCTACTTGAAACCCTGTGTCCTTGCAGCTTCTGCGGCACCGGTCCTGGATGCGCTGCCCTCTGTCCGACTGTCCTTCTCCCTCCTGACTCTGAAATGTTGGTGGGTGTCACTCAGGTTTCTGCCCCAGGCCCTTTTCTCGCCTTGTCTGGGCTTCCTCAGTAATAGCATCTCGCGACGTGGCTTCAGATACTGTTAAAAAGTATTAGGCCTTCTGTTTCCAGCTCAGATGATACGGATAACCGCTTAGCTCCGGTTGTGGATAGCCAACTGATGATGGGACATTTCTACTTTCTGTCTTACAGACACCAAGAACTCAACAATGACCTGAGTTGACTAATCCTTCCTTTTCTCCTTTAAAATAAACTGGGCAAATAACTTGTCCACGACCGCCGAGTTATAAAAGCAACAAACCAAAGCATTTCCCTATATTTCTTCCTCGCCTTAGACCTCCATAGCTACGATCTTCCTGGCCAAATCTTGTTGATTCTACTTTTGTAATGTTTCGCATTTTCATTTCTTTTTACTTAGTCTCAGGCTCTGGTTTCTTCCTTGGATTCTTGAAGTTATTTTTTTCAAGTCTAACATTCTCCCAAATCACCTTTATATTGCTTCTATAGTCTTTGAGGTTGCACATCCCATTGTTGTATTGTTTAAAATCCTGTGTTTAATATGCACAGTGCTATGTTTACCAATTTGGGGAATGTACCCAGGAAGAAGACATGATGCCCCAGGAGAGTTCCATTCCAGCAAACAAATAATTATATACACCCAGAAATTAATAAGAATTATGAGTATTATGAATAAATAACTATAGGATTAATGAGAAGAACTACTCTTCTGTATTTGAGATTATCATGCTGTTTTTATTATTACTATTTTTTTACTCTTTCTTGGTAGTATTTTCTGCCCTTTGGAATGGTATTTTGAAGGATCCATTTTATTTTTTTCCTGAAGTCAGTGAAGGTGCTTCCTGAATAAGATATTCAGTTCATGTCAGCCCTTCAGTTTAATTTGTTTTTATCCTGCTAGCAAAGGATCCAAAAGTATTTTATATAGTGTGAGATTAAAATAATGAGAGGATGTTTGCAGGCTGATATATCCAATCTTCATAGTGCCAAGCAGTCAGCCTTTCATCTTTTCCAGGTCTAAAAACTTATCTTATTTTCTCTAGACACTTGCTCTTCACTACTAGAAACCTGGATCTTCAAAATTTGTCCTGAAAACTTTTTTAGCTAGATGGTGAAAAAAAAACACAAACGTATTCCTGGACATTAATGAGTTGCCCACACAGTGACTGCTATAAATAAGACTTGGACATGAATATTACATTGCTTATTCAAATTTCTTGTGTCTTTTTCATTGGCAGAAGAAAAATGAATCTAATCAGTAATAAAAAATAATGCAATATAGTAAAACTCTACTATTATGTAGATTAATTTATCTTTGGCTAAATTATGGGGTATGACTATATGGCCTTCCCATTTTTAAACAAAAATGGACAAATTGAGATGGTTTTGTCATTTTTTTTTTTTTTGCCATTGCTTGAAGTTCCGCATGATTTTGTATTGAGAAGCCATTCTTTCATCAGAGTCTTACTAGCGTTATCTGAGCTTAATCTGGGGTATACTTTATAGCCAGTGATGAAAGGCCTAAAGTAAGCAGAAGTTATGTATTTGTTGGTGTTAATGACAGCATGAATAGAATAGTCTGGTAATCTTAGCACCAGTTATAACTATCACTACTAGATATTAAGTAGCACCTGGATCTCATATCAAATAAGATTGTGTAAATGAAATCAGTTTGAAGAGAACAAAGCATAGCAGTTGATACTTCTGGGGGTTTCTGCCCAATACATTGACTCTTTCCCTTCTGAGAACAAGCCAACCCCTGCCCCCCCCCCCCCCCGCCCAGTCCATCCCATGGGGTGGGCTTGCTGGTAATCATGTTTATATTACACAACCCCTAAGCCTCGACTCATGCTTTTGACTTCCTGATGCATATTTGATTCAAGCTAGGCCACTAAGATTCTCTTTATGAGTAGTTGAGACCAAAACCCAGCTAAAACTATATATATAATTTGGGAGCAAGAGGTAGTTTTATTCGGTATATTGATGGTGAGGCAGAGTAAATTAGTCTTCCAAGAGGTGTCTGCCTTGTTTTAGGCAGATAAGTGAGGATAGAGGACTTCTTAGTTCCTGACATCTGGCCGTTTCTGGTTCTGATTCCTTGTTAATTCACACAACGTATTTGTATTCCTTTTTTTTTTTTTTAAAGATTTTATTTATTTTTCAACAGAGAGAGAGAGACAGCGAGAGAGGGAACACAAGCAGGGGGAGTGGGAGAGGGAGAAGCAGGCTTCCCGCTGAGCAGGGAGCCTGATGTGGGACTCCATCCCAGGACCCTGGGATCATGACCTGAGCCGAAGGCAGACGCTTAATGACTGAGTCACCCAGGCGCCCCGTATTTGTATTCCTATAACAAATTCTTCCTTTAGGTTTAGGTTAAGTCAGTGTGGTGTCTGTTACTGTAGTCAAAGAATTTAGACCAGTGAAAATGATGGTATTATTACCATTATCATTACCATTATTATTACTATGGGCTGGTAATCAACTATTCTGCTCTGTAAGCAGTTAGTTGATAGTTATGAATTTTTGTTTATTTTATAAGTTGGTAAGTTATGTTTTTTATTTTTAACACTTTGCTTTTCTGATGTGTTTTACACTAAAGAATGCCTCCCCAAGATAATATGAATAGAAATTTACACCAAAAAATAGTAAAAAACCATAAAATTTATATCTGGTAGAAGGGATAATAATGAGTTATAGTGTACATAATATATGCCCAATATTGTAAAAAGATAGAATAGAAAGGAAATTGTTCGGAAAATGTGTCTTTTTAGTAGTTGAAATTGTATGTCAAAATGGATGGCATGTGGATCATTCTGCAGCAAGAAAAAATATGGCTATTGATTAAAATAACGAGAGTGGTAGTTTACAAAATTATGGTCCTGTGTTTGTGCTTTTTAAAAGACAGTAGCTTATGTTTTTATGTTTAGACTGTTAGCAAATATATAGTTTAGCAGAATAAAAAACTTGCATCATGTTCTATATTTTTATCATTGCATTGTAGTTTAATGAAATCCATAATTTACCTCATTGACATGACAACAAAAAGCATCAAGATATAATCACAAACAGAATATTGTTCATCTAAGTGCTTTAGTTGTAAATATCCAGGATTGATGATTATAGAATAATAACTCATAATGGTATGCAGTGAAATGGGGATTGTTTGATCATAGATAAAGAGGTGAAAGAAGAGAATTATGTATTTATTTAACCTGAAAGTTGCCAGCAGGGAATTAATTTCACTTGTCAAAGATATATGATCAAATTTATTACCATGTGTGTTCAAATACTATTACCAAGTCTATGAGAACAGACTTGCTGTGTTTGCAACTTGTTTGCAACAGCCTTTCAAGGAGTTAGGTTCACACGTTTTCATTTTGACTTGGGAAGGTTAACTTTACTTACTACTTAGAAGGATACACCCATAAGCAGAACATCATGATTTTTAAAAAGTACTAGATTGGGGCGCCTGGGTGGCTCAGTCGTTAACCGCCTGCCTTCTGCTCAGGTCATAATCCCATGGTCCTGGGGTCATAGTTTTGAAAGCAAAGATGTGTATCCTTTGAAGTTTAGTGCCACAAATGTCTTGTTGCAGAGAAACCTACCTAGAAATTTAAGCCCACATCTGCAAGAGTCTACAAGATAATTTCCACCATATACCCTCAAGTATCATCTGACACCAGGATTTTTCTTAGGAATTGTATTAAATTTCAGCTTCTTATAATTCTACATTCCTGCAACTTTCTAGACCTTTGACAGCATTTTTGCTCTGGTAGCTTCCCAGCTCCAAGTCTGGTTACTTGGAAAGAGAAGGGAAATGAAACCAAAGAAACAAAAAGACTAATGCAAAGAATTCTACTCAAAGGCCCAAACTAACTTGATTAGAGTATCTTTGAAAAAATTTTGATAATTTATACTTATTTTTAGCTATTCCAACTAGGAAAAAATTGTGAAATGAATTCTACAGTGGAAAAGGCTGTTTTCTTTTTCATTATCTCAGTAAATGTTAATGATTAAAATCAATGTCATTGCTGTGAGTAGGTGGATTTTTAGTTATGAATTGAGGAGTATTGTGGGTACTCTTTCTCCAAAACGACCTTCCCCAGTGTCTGATTATGAGGCCTGAAATCCCAATCATGAGAACTCCCATCTGTGGTAAGCACTGCCTTCTCCCTGTGGTTCTCTTTTAGAACTCCAGTATTCCTGAGAGTGAAAAAAGTGA